CGGCAGGGAAATGGGAATCCCGGCAGGGCAATGGGAATCCTGGCAGGGAAATGGGAATCCCGGCAGGGAAATGGGAATTCTGGCAGGGAAATGGGAATTCTGGCAGGACAATTCACCTTTGCCGTTGCCGGCGGGGTCGCCCATGTTGGCGATCAGGATGTCACCGTTGGGCAGGGCGTGGGTGGCAGCCAGGTAACCCTTGTTGCACTTCCAGAACACATCCACGGGCTCGATCATCTGCACAAAGCAGTGCAAATGTCAGCCTCGGCCTGCTCGGCGCCTTTCCCGGGACCCCAAAATCCTTCCTTGGACTGACTGTCCTTCCTTCCTTCCTTCCTTCCTTCCTTCCTTCCTTCCTTCCTTCCTTCCTTCCTTCCTTCCTTCCTTCCTTCCTTCCTTCCTTCCTTCCTTCCTTCCTTCCTTCCTTCCTTCCTTCCTTCCTTCCTTCCTTCCTTCCTTCCTTCCTTCCTTCCTTCCTTCCTTCCTTCCTTCCTTCCTTCCTTCCTTCCTTCCTTCCTTCCTTCCTTCCTTCCTTCCTTCCTTCCTTCCTTCCTTCCTTCCTTCCTTCCTTCCTTCCTTCCTTCCTTCCTTCCTTCCTTCCTTCCTTCCTTCCTTCCTTCCTTCCTTCCTTCCTTCCTTCCTTCCTTCCTTCCTTCCTTCCTTCCTTCCTTCCTTCCTTCCTTCCTTCCTTCCTTCCTTCCTTCCTTCCTTCCTTCCCTCCTTCCCTCCCTCCCTCCTTCCCTCCCTCCCTGTCCCTCCCCCGCTGCTGTCCGGGCCGTACCTTGCAGATCCGAGGCGCCCGGCACTGGGAGCCCACATCCACCACGTAGATGCGGGAGGAGATGAGGCCGGGCAGGACCAGCTTGGTCCTTTTGGCCGCGGCGCCGCTCTCGAAGCAGCCGCAGGCGGGGCCCCAGCCCGCGCAGTGCAGCTCGTCCTTGAGGTTGGGCATGGGCAGCCGCTGGATCACCTGGGCACGGCCAAGGGAGCTCAGCCCGGGCCGGCCGGGAACGGCCCTGGGCAGCGGCCCCGGCAGCGGGGAGCTGCGGAGGGGCCGGGGAGGGATTTGGGGAGCCCTGGAGAGGGATTTGGGGAGCTGGGAAGGGGCTACGAAGGATTTGGGGAGCCCTGGAGAGGGATTTGGGGAGCTGGGAAGGGGCTACGAAGGATTTGGGGAGCCCTGGAGAGGGATTTGGGGAGCTGGGAAGGGGCTACGAAGGATTTGGGGAGCCCTGGAGAGGGGCTGCGATGGATCCCTCCCCGGGGAGCGCAGCACCGCGCCCGTACCTGGCCGTAGTGGCAGGAGCGCGGGTTGAGGTCCACGGTGGCCAGGAAATCGGGCTGCTCGATGCCCGTGGACCTGTAGGTGCAGGTCACGTAGGCGACCTCCTCCCTCGGGGCTGCGGACACAAAACCGCGCTCAAACCTCGCCGGGAAGGGCGGACGGGACACGAAAAGCTGCGGGCGGCTCGCGGAAATGAGCCCAAAGCTTTGCGGGCTCGCTGCCATTTCCTCCGGCTCCCCCCGGGCAGCCCCGGGGCCGCTCCTGAGCCGGGAACAACCGGAGGGAATCTCCGGGATTCCAGAGGGGAATCTCCCGCATTCCAGAGGGGAATCTCCCGCATTCCAGGGGGGAATCTCCCGCATTCCAGGGGGGAATCTCCGGGAACAACCAGCGGGAATTGCCCGCGAATTCTCCCGCTGGGAAAGGGGCTCAGCACCAACGCTGAGCCCAGGGCCCCCCAAGAAGCCCAAATCCCCCCCATTCCAAGCCAGCCCTGGCACTCCGGAGCCAGCAAGAACCAGGGGAGTCTCCCGGATTTCAGGGGGAATCTCCTGGGCAGAAGCAGCGGGAATCTCCCGGCAATTCTCCTGCTGGGGAAGGGGCTCAGCACAGCCGCTGAGCTCAGCGCCCCCCAACAAGCCCGAACCCCCCCCGTGTCAGCCCAGCCCCGCTGCCGCCACTCGCCTTTCAGCACGTCGGGGCACGAGGGGTACTCGTAGCACGGAGCTCTGCATCTGTCTGCGGGAGCAGAGGGCATCCCGTGAGGCCGGCCCGGAGCCCGGAGCCCCTGCCCGGCACCGCCGCCCCCGCCCCGGGCCCGGCCCGGCCCTCCCTGGGCACCCGTGGCGAGCGCTCGTGGTGGCGCTGCCATCGCCCAGCTCCGGGACAGGAGCCTGGGGACAGCGCGGGGACCAGCCCGGGGGGGACATCTGAGCACCGCGGGGAGCGCTCCCCACAGCGGGGAGCCCGGCACAGAGCGGGGACAGCATGGGGACAGAACCGGGACACGATGGGGACAGAACCGGGACACGATGGGGACAGAGCCGGGACACGATGGGGACAGA